TCATTAGAAAAGAAATCTCTCTTCCCTGAAAAGTGGGATTTCCATGCATCATATGTTTTCCACCAAAAATAATTACATATTGGAAAGCCAAATGTGTAATAGGGAAGTAATGCAAGAACAGCTTTTTGATCATCCCTTTACTGTTTGTGAAGAACACAGAGAAGGGGGCTTAAAGAGGTTTGGAGTATTACCTGAGTATTGCTGCAAACAGTGATATGGTTGGCATGCAGAAAATAAGCCATAGACATCATTAGGTGCATTTATTCTAGCAGAAGATCATGAGTTTTTACAGCCAATGACTGAATGTCCCCACAGGCTTCAACACATACAGCTGAGCTGTATGCATCCAACCATCAATCATAGAGGGGAGAAGTACACCATCATCAGTGTACCAATCACTTCCCAACAGTTCACAGGAAATATCCATACAAAATGCTATCTGAAGCTGCCCTTGGATGCTCAGACTATATTTGAGGATGTGAAGGGGCTGAATCCACACCGCTGGATGGGTCAGGCTGTGCCATACCGATACCTGCTTACTCAGCACTGGCAAAATGGTCCATGCTTAGGTCAGGAGACCTAAGTTCTGGTTGTGTATAAGTCTGTCTACTGTGCAATTTTAAGCAGGTCATGTCTTGGGCCACAGTTTCCCACCTATGGAGTGGGGTTTGTACCTTAAAAAGGGAAGAAACAGTGAATTGCTGCTTGCAAGATACTTGAAAGGCGTTGAACAGAACGTGGTTAATTGCTACAAAATATGTTGATTAACTAATGGGCAGAGATCTACTGCTATGTTAAGAACCATTCAGAAATATGCCATCTCATTAGACTGGAACAAAACAACCCCCAGCAGGGGGGAACAAGTTGCTTCAAACAAGGTTCAGCTTTCTGTCAGTTTAATCTTTGTCTCATGGATAGACTTGTGAATCTTAATTTAATTACAATTCCTTAAATGTTTCCTGATATCATATCTGCATCTCTCTGTTCTATGCCTTTTTATGGTTTCTCTTCTGTTGTGGGTCTGAGGAATAGATCATTTTTCCCAGTGTCCATTAAAATTTCCATTGCCTGCAGCGCAATAAAAGAGATGAACCTGCTGCAAGAGAAATAAGCTGATGCTGCACTGTCTTTTTAGAGCAACAAAAATCTTTATAGATTATTTTTCCAAGTGTCATGAATCTCCTTCAAAGTCACAAGTCACTGTTATCAATTAATAGACTTAATAGTCTCATTTTCAATTCACATTCAGGCCATGCAGAGGCTGTCCTCATCCCGGCAGATGGTTGAAAGCTTTGCCTTTCAGAGATAAAATGTTACCTTGTACATGGGGGTAGTGAGGAGGGGGGTGATTCAGGAGCAGAAAGACGTGTTAAAGTGCAGCACCTGAGGCCTTCTTGTTTTCTGAATTTACAATCTCAGGCTGGCAGTCGTATAAATGAGTGATGCTCTATGATGTTCTCTTCCAAGCAGGCTACGAAATTGGCAGGGAGTCTTCGGTTTTGTGCTGATGTGTCCAGAATTCCAATAATTTGATTCTTGGGTATAATGACAATTGGAGGCACAGTATTACCTTGAGAACAGAGAGGGGAGAGTCAGCTTCTGTATCCTGTATCGAATTAACAACCGATTCCCATTTACTGTCCCTGCTGAAAACTCTATTATGCAGGGTTCTTATTGCCCTTATTCAAGGACATGGAATTAAAAAAGTAATATTGATGGTAATGCTCTCATTTTCCTACCATGACATTGAATAATGGGGACAAAGAAGGGAAATCTGGAGGGATGACATGCCTTTTAAAAGACTGACGGTGTTGAAAACACATAAAGGACACTATATTAGAATATCAGGTGATGAAGTCATATTCAGATTACCGTGCTTTTTTCTATGAGTTTAAATAATTTTCGCTTTTATTTTTCATCATTGTTTTCTGAATATTTTATTTTCTTTTCATTCCAGAAGAGATTCCTTGCTGTAAGGAGTACAGTTGTGAGGATGGAAGGGAAGTGTTGGTTAAACCAGTTCCAAGAGAAACCTCTTCTCCCTCCACCTGGACCCAAATAACAGGAGTTACATATGAGTTATGAGCAGTATGAGATAGGCAGCTGGCTTGAAAAAGTGGTAACTCACAGCAGCATGATGAATGTAACATCACATGGCAATTTGACAGCAAAAGAAATGCTAGGAATGACTACAGAATTTTGTTGTATTTATACTTGCATTTTTATACTTGGTAGATTTTTACACTGCTTTTTAACCTCTTCTCTTTGTTGGCATGCATACATCACATTCTGTGATGTCTCAGGGTTTATCTGGCTAGGAAAAGTCTATCTACAGATTGACATAATCATACAGACAGAGGCAGAGTTATACCACTGCTCAAGGGGAGACTCTTCTCTTGGCACAAGTTTTTGTCTTTCAGTTTAGCTTAAGCCTTACATAGACTAGATAAAATAGGTGGTCTTATAATAAAATAAGAACATCCACTCTTCAGCATCATTCCATGAAATATACATTCATTTAATTTAAACTATTTTTTCCCATGTAAGTGATACCTTACACAAAATAATGAGTGTATTGGGATGTTTGGAAATTTTTTTAAGAGTAAGTGATGGTATCTCTATTTCACAAGTGAGCAAAAGAGAAGCAGAATATTTCACTAAATTGCTAAAAGTCACACAGGAAGCACTTTAGGAGGTGGGAACAAAACACAGGTCTTGCTTTCATTAGCGCAAAGCCTCTCTGAACTATTGACATTATTACCTCATCTCAACTCAGATGGTAATGAGGCCCCTCACACTGTTTTCAGTCAGAGGTGGAATTATGGAAATCAGCTCTGCAGCATGTCTGAGAATGGTTGAAGACTACACTGCAAAGAGTTTAGGGAATAAAGTCTGCTCTGTAATGATCTCAGTCGCTCCTGACCACATCAATGCCATCTTTACATCAATGTAATTCTGCCATCAGTTATTCTAGTGTCACTTCTGCTATTGTGAAGCATGAGGTCAGAACAGGGCTCAAAACCTCTTTGTAGCAATTCTAAAAAGTCAAAATCACTGCCGACTTTGCCAAAGTCCCTGGCAGTGTCAGGACCACTGGCAAAATGCTGCCCAGCCTCTGAAGTACGCTCCACGTGTTGGGGTAGACTTCATCCTCCCTGGTGTAACACATTCCCTTTGATATCTATCTATCTGTCTCAATATGACACTGGCATGGGGCTGCATGGAGAGCAGCTTTATAGCTGATTGCTGTCATCTGTACTTTTTTTTTTTTTTTTTTGCCATGAACTTGTAGATGTTAATGAAGCTGTGAGCACTCCTTTCCCCTCTTGTACTGCTGTGCTGTCAAGGTTTACTTTTTCAGGGAAAGGAGAAGTGTGAAAAAAGAGATCCCTGGGAGAGACATTACAATAGGGCATGATGACCTGGAAAGCTTTGAAGGCATCTGCAATGAAGCTGTTTTTATGAACTTGTCTGGCAATGCAATGCTCACTGTGTGCTCCCCTGTGCAGACCCGAAGAATGTCTGTGCACCTGCATCTTGCCTTAGCAGCAATATGCTCAATAGGTGATGCAAACTAACAGGGATACTGTGACAGAGTTTTCGCAATAAGCCACTGGGGATGGTGAAGGTGATAGCTGGATTTTCCTTGTTCTGGGTACATAGCTTCATAGCTTTCTTGCCTGTGCTGGCAACGATGTGCATTAGGCTAAGAGCTGTAATTATAACAGCTGTCAGTGGCCTCCAGGGGTCAGCATATCACTTGAGAAGAACTAAATCACGGAGGACTCAAAGGGCCCTTTCTCATTTCAAGCATGAAATCATGGTTCCTATGCAGTTTTCAACTTCAGCTGTAGTAAGATTTAAAGCTTTTTGTCCCCAGTTCTGCCTGTGATAACAAAAGCAAACTAAAAAATAGCTCTCAGGATACCCACTGTAAAATGCAAAATGTTGTCACTAATTAGCACCACTAGAAAAAAGAGAACTAGAAAAACGTCCCTTAGGTGACAATCTTATTTAAATGAATGGGACAAATAGATATCTATGTGTTTAGGTGCTACTGCTTATGTGTTGCTACTGATGGGATGAAAGGACATACCAGCTGTGTTCTGAGTTGATTGTTAGACTTGTTCCACTGTGCTATAAGCTCTATTTTAATATGTTTGAACAGAATTAACAGCCCTTTTGACGCTCTGAAAAGGATAGAGTGGAACCAGAAAACATGTAGACATGTGAAGGGGATCAGAAGTGTGAAGCAGCTTTCACACAAGAAAGACTATTCATCACCAAATGATACAAGTTGGAGGGTTTGAGATATAAGTCCATAAGGACAAGCATAGTGCAAAAAATAATGATGAGAAATGACATTCATCTTCTCTTCCAGTATGTTGGACACCCAACTAAGTCATCAAATAACAGCTTTTGAAAAATACATAGCATAGAATTAAATTGAGAAATCGGTTTCTTTAGGACTTTAAGGAGGTCAAAACTTTGAAAGCCAGTAAGAGACCAGGCAAACTCATGGAGTCTGAGTTGGCGTTAAGCACTGGGGCCTGAAGGCAGAGCTCAGAGCTTTTAGGGCTTTGAACAGAAATCTTTCCAAACACTAGTAAATTTCGATTGGCTCAAGTTATATTATACTGGTTTCAATGATCTAGAGCAAAATCAGGACCTAATTCTACATGACCTCCTCTGAGATCAGGCAGCTTATTCTTATGTTGCAAAGTAACACCCGAATGTATTTCATGGCATCAGCCAGCCTCAAAACGTCCTTACAGGCACTGAAAGGTCCATGTCACACAATATTATCCCATTGGCCCTTAGTATGAAGAACTCTATAAAGCTTCTTGAGGCTGACTGGTGTTCTCCTGTTTCTGTTCTGAAACACAACCTTAAGTGAATCCAGCAAGAATCAGCTGTAGTCCAAGTGCAGAAATCCCACTACAGAAAAGGCTAACAAAATATTCCATCTGATTTCCAAGAAAGAAATAGTAACACTCAAATCTTCTGTCATTTTTATTAAAGCTGCAGAGTTTTACTACACACAACAAATATTTCATCGATATAATCTAAGTTAATAAAATAGCTGAACAACTCTTTAGATTTATATTTGTATAGAAATGATCTATGGAACATCTCATCTTGAAACAGCAGTGCCTGAAAACAACTATTCAGCAGGACTTTTTTGGAGAACAGTTTGGGACTAGAGGATGCACTCTTCATTCTCACAAAAAAAAAAAAAAAAAAAAAATCCATGCAAAAATAACCCCCGCCCTCTTCACCATTCCTCTCCTAATCCAAAACATACGGCCTTATCAAATGACCACATAAGGGACTGGCCCTTTTTTTCCAGTATTCCTCTTCATGTCTACTTTAGGAGCAGTTGTCTAAACTGAGTAACTAAAACAAGTTGAAAAGAAAAATCAATTGCACAATCCTAGTCTGCAGGTGACAAAGTCATAACATCTCTTTACATAAGTCGCTACTGTTTTTCCATTTATGAGCATTCATTATCACACTGTGTTTGCTCCTCAGCTCCTGCCTATCTGGCTGATGTCAGTTATTGTCAATACGCCTTTGTTAGCAGGTCAGTCTATCTACTATTGCTTCAGTCTCCCTTCTTCATTTATATGTGGTTTAGATTCTACGTAGCACTGCCTGAAAAGGGCCTACTCTGTGGTATTTCCCCCCCACTTTAGACAAAGCACATAGCTCAGGTGGTTATCTCCTCACTGCAGCTACGTGTCTGCGTCACCCGTGAGATGTCTTTTATAGATCATGAGCCATCTCTTCGCTATATCATTCCATTTATCTTAGTCCACTCGTAGATGTCCTGTTCACATACTATGTCCGAGTTGATGAGGAGGTATCTGTCCCCAACACAGAAGTGTTTCTGGCAGGCTGCACATTTGAAGCATTCAAGGTGGTACACTTTGTCCTTCACCCGCATGGTCATCTCATAAGCCCGGATCCGTTTGTCACAGGAGGCACAGAGGCCGTCTTGGCCAAAGAGCCTAAAACAACAACAGCAAAGAAGTAATTAGAGTTCCTTTGCTGGAGAGGTGGGGAAAAAAAGTAGTCAAAACAGGAACACAACATCAGTGCATTGCTTCATTAGTCAGACTACTACCAAGATACATAGAAGTCAAACGGAAAGCTGCTGAGCAGAACTCAAACCTTTGAAATACCAAAAACTGAGGAAGAAAGTCCAAGATCTACACTTATTTCTAAGGTAATTGACTTCTGTGATCAATGACGTTATCCTGAAACATTGAGCAGCTTCAAGCAGAGTAAAGGTTCACCAGATCATAGCATAATGTTGTGTGATGCTAACACTTTCTCTTATGACATCAACAGAAATTACCTTTCAGTTGATAAATCTTGCCTATCTTCAGCTGTTGCTATTGTGATTCACAGGAAAAAGTTGCCACATTATGATATATCTATGATTTAATATTCTACTGTCTGTATTCATTTCTTCCACATTTGAGATTCTTTCAAACTCAAATATTTCTGTATTTGTGAAATCACTCCTGCTGGGTTTCAGGATACATGCTAAGACCTTCCAGGTACTTCTGCTGTCCCAGAAAATTCTATGCTCTGGACTGCTCTTTTTGAAAGCAGATTGAGATTCCCTGCTGAAATCAGTATGCTATTTTCTTTTAAAAGGAGCCCCTAGCAAATGCACCATGTACGTGCCCCCCTCACAGCATTTGCCAGCATTCTCGGCTGAAGCAGAGCAACATGTTCAGCCATGTCTGATGATAACATGAACAGCAGCATTTCACACAGTCTGCTGGTTACAGTTTGTAAGACATATTATTAATAAATAAGGGACATATATAGAGTATGAATGTATATAAAATCATAGAATCATTTAGGTTGGAGAAGACCACTAAGATTATCATGTATAGTCCTAAAAGGAGGGAGAAATCCTATTACTTGCGTATAGAATACACACATTGACTTTGAATTCTATGTTTCCATACTAATTTCAGAAAGATTTTGTCCACCCTTACACTGCACTTCTGTGCCTGCTTCCTTTGTCCTAAACTGGAAATGGAATACCTATTAAAGAGAGCTCATTAAGGGCAGAAGACATACTTCTTTATTCTACCAGGAGATGTCAGTGTCTACTTCTGCCCAGCTAAAGTAATAAGGTTACACAAATGTTGCAAGATGTCTCATTAATAACGGAAAATAGCATGTTATATTATTAAATAAACAAAAACATTCCATCTCACGGCAAGAAAATACATTACTGCACTGACATATTTTCTCTTGCTTCCCTTTTAAAACAAAAAGTATCTGGGAAGTGTAGCTAACTCTGGTTCATTGCTGGAACATGATGTCTGCTGAGCATTTACAAGTGGTCTCATTTCTGCCAAGAGAAATTCCCATCAGTAAGTTCTGGAACACAATCGCTAGGAGCTCCTCTGAGATGCTGCTTTAATTTTTGTAGACTTCAGTAAGGTAGCTGAAAATATATGCAATGTCTTAAGCCTGTTCCACAAACTTCCTGCAACATTAGGGGTCCATTGGGACAAATGGGATACAGCCAGTGCAGCTAAGGTCAAAACACTTCTCTATAACTGAGACCACAGAGATCCTTTATTAAGGATGTTTTGTGAAATATATTATTCCCAGTTTAATCCTTTTTTACTTAAAAATTATGGCAATTCAGATAGGAAGATAGATGTTGCTGAAAACTCCACTGGGTCCAGCTTAACAGGACCAAACTTCCCTGTACCCGGCTGCAGCTCCACACTACACATCCAGCACATGATGTCTTTCTGCTTGAAGATAAGTTACCACTGATGCAGAAAAAGACATGGATCGATCCATGTACAAAAGGCTGTCACTTCAGAACCAAACAAGTACAGCAGTCTCACTGCTTGGTGGAACCAAGCGTCTCTTATAGGGCTGACATTACCACATCAGGAAAATGAATTAAATTCAGTTACCTTGGATACCATGTTCTTAAATGAGAGAACGAAATGATCTTTCATCAATAGCCAATCTCAGCACCTGCTTTTATATAACTTTCAGCTCCAAAGCAATGCCTGGAGTGGCACAGAACTGCTTAAAGCCATTCTGGGGAGCTGGCTTGCAGTCAGTTTGGGCAGGGAGGTCCTCCTGAAATTCTCCACTGCTTCCCAATTTCTGCTTGGCAGTACCCCACGCTGACATGGCTCAGTCAGCATTCAGCTATCCGGGGAGCAGCAGCACTGAGCAAACCCCATTACTCTTAAACTCTGCATCTAAGATCAGCCAAAATGAATTATGCATGATCCTTTGTTCACTAGCTGTACCTTAAATTGATAGACAAAGCTGAAATGGCAGAAAGAAGTGGAGGTGAGTAGAATAAGTTGCCCAGAGAAGCGGTGTAGACACCCAAGGTCAGGCCGGACGGGGCTGTGAGCACCTGATCTAGCGTAGGCGTCCCCGTTCATTGCAGGGGAGGTGGACCAGATGACATTTAAGGTCCCTTCCAACTCACACGATTCCATGATTCTATGAGAAGTGGGCTGGGAAGCCGCATACCTGAGATAGTCCCTCCGGCAGAGCTTCCTGCCCAGCTTGTAGTACAGCCGCCTCCCCACCTCTCCCAGCCGGCACCCGCACAGGTCGCAGCTGAGGCAGTCCTCATGCCAGTACTGGTCGATGGCCTTCAGGAAATAGCGGTCCCCGATGTTCTGCTGGCAGCCCCCGCATGTCAGCAGCGAGGGGGGGATCTGCAGCACCTCGTCCACCGGCTCCCTGCGAACAAAAGGGGTGTTGGAGAAGGGAAACACGCTGCCGCCGTCCCAGTGAGAAGGAGGAGGAGGAAAAGCAAAACAAAACACAGTGGCAGATGGGTCGGGTGAGAACACAGAGCATGCTCTCATTTTTTCTCCCAGTGGAGTGAACAATTTACCCTCTCTAACATGAGAGGGAGCGAGCAGGACTTCACTCTTCTTAAGGAGATTGGGATAACTTAAAGTATAAGGAGCTAATAAAAGTAGCCAAATATTTGCTAACTTGTTTTATATTTTTCTTCAAAGGATAACATGTAAACACAAGGATCTCTTTATCACCCAGGAGTATCCGTTAGTGTAAATACACCTACAATCTTAATAGAGCATTCCTGCCAGTGTAGATACTTCCTTTTTTTTTTGCTGGACAAACACAAATTGCTCATCACGGGGCTCAATCCACACAGTTCTTAAAAATGCATATACTTCTAACAACACGATTTTCATGTGATTGAAGACAGCACTTTTTCAGACACTTATTCCAAAAAGGTGCCTGGATTCGCTATGAAAACACCAGTTAGGTCCATACGGGCAGACAAATACCAACAACCACAGTCCTACAAGTTCTGACTGTATTCTGTTTTCCAGTAAATCTGTTTTGCCCACAACACATAGCCAGGCTTTAGTTTCCATTAAAAAAAAAAACAAAAAGCTTTTTCTTCCCCCAATTTTTTTAGGATTTAACTATAAATGTCTGAATGAACTCAGACAACATCTGGATCTACCTCTAACTTACTGAAGAGCCCCATAAAGCACCTGTGCATGCACCCTGAAGTACACAAGCCCATCGTGTAGACCCGATGCTTTCAGCTTTGACTGTAGTGCTGCTTGGGAGCAAAGGGAATTCTGTCTCACAGAGGACTGTGGGTATAGAAAAAGTACCTGAGGGAAAATACATGCAGCCAGCTTTCCTCTGGGGAATGCAAATTTGGAGACTAAGTCCGGGGATGTTATTTCACTGAGCAGCATTAAATAAATAACTACAACAGATGTAGCTGCTGCCCAGCTTTGCTGCTATTTTGATTGAAGCCCAGATTTCAACTGATATTTAAAAAGCTAAAAGGAAGGCAGGTGAGCTCAGTTCTGCAGTGACCCAGACCCTCACCCAGACCCCAGGGAAGCTTATAAGAAGACTCTGGGATAAGTCCTTTAGCATCTGTATCATTTCAGCCCTCTGCTAGTGGAAAGAAAATCACAGGTTTGTACATTTAGGTTTATCTACTTTACTAGACCATGACCAAAGTGCTCAACAGGAGGCAGAGCCGAGTCCCAGACTGTTTGGGGTTCTCACTCAGAGCAGAACCGGGCTGCTCTGGGATTCCAGCAGGCAACAGGAGAACTCCTATAGCTGCTGCCTCAAGGAGCTCCATACATTTTTTACTGGGTCAGCAGTTTTCTAGGGAAATATGACTTAGTTCAGCGTGGAGAAATGACCACTGGTCAACATCTTCTGTGCTATGAAACTGATCCTGTAGCTTTCATGAGCTGAGCCCTGAGATGTGATGAGATGACGTGCTCAGCCCACTGCTTTCCCAGTGCCCAAGCTGCTGGGCCCCAGCAGTGCTGCCCAGGCTCTGTAAGTTCCCATTGAAACTCCAGGCAGCCTGGGCTGTGAGCAGGAGCAGGCCCTGCTTATTCCAAGCTTTCTCTATTGAGCCCCGCAGTTCCACTCCTAGAGAGTGGGCTCCACTCAGATGAGCTCTGCGTGCCACCCAACAGAACACGCAGCTACAAGGGAACGCACCTTAGTGTCCCTTATTGGTCATCATGAGAAACCTGAGATTGCAGCCCAAAAATATTTTGGTCTTACAGGTTCTGGGAATCACAAGGCAGCCCTGTAACAGCCCCACGCATGTTTCTGAGGAACAGAATTTCTTCTGTACCGGCTTTTTGATGTCCACATATCTGCATGCCAGCGAAGCCAGTAGGACACCAAGCAGGAAAGCAAATAAATACTGCTAAAATGCTGCAGCGCAAACTGGGACATTGACACCCAGGAGTTCAGATGATGATTTCTCATAGACGATAAAAGAAAAAACAGCACACAAGACATCAAAAGCAACACGGCAGGAATTGATTTAACCCGCAGTGGGGATGGTTCCCCTGTGCTCACTCGCAGCTTCAAGAGACAGCATTTGAATATCTCACAGGAAACAAACCGCGGACGACCAAACTTAACTAAGAGCTACGTTTTAAGTGCTATCTGAAAAAGGAGATTTTCTTTCTTTCGCTCTTATCACGATTCCAGACGGGTGTAACTGCAGCTACGAAGGCGCGCAGCGCTGCTTTAAGCCGAGTTGCCATCGCCCCTCGCAAGGACGGTGCCTGCATGTGCGGGAGGGCTGCACAGAATCGGCTGCGGGACGGGACCTGCGGGTCGGCCCCTTCCACGAACATGAAAAACACGGAGTGGAATTCTCACCACCTATACCGTGGGGTCCCCCTGCACGCCCTTTGCGCAACGCCTCCCCCAGCAAAGCCCTTGAAAGTTACAAAGCGCCTCGCGTTGTGTAAATGTGGAAGTCGGGCAGCCGCAGATAACAGCTCCGACCTTTCGCTATAATCGGCGAAGAGAGCGGGGCAGGTCCGGGGAACCCGGAACGACCACCGCCTTCAGCTTGGGTGAGAGCCCCGCAGCGGGTCCCGCAACCCGGGGGCGGCGGGAAGCGCCCGGCCCGGAGCTGAGCCCGCAGCCGCCTCCCGCCCATCCAGCACCCGGGCTCCGGCCCCGGAGATCCCTGCCGGAGGGACGACCCCGTGGCAGCCGAGGGGCGCGCGGGGCCGGTACGAAGCCGGCCAGCTGCCGTCGGTGGCACCGCGAGGAACGGAGGGGTGGGGAGGCCGAGAGAAAAGATGCCACTTACTCGGAAGGATCGAGGCTCTTCCTCTCGATGGCAGATGACATTGGCAGGGATGGCTCCTTTGTAGCGTGCCTGTGATGCGATCTGCCCCCGCTGCCCCCGCAGAGGCCGTCTGCTCTCGACGCCTTGTCACCAGCCGCGCTCCCCCTCCGCCCCCCAATGACATTCACAGGATTTCCTCCTGCAACACCAAAGAGAGACACAAACGCGGGCTGGGGCGGCTGCCGGGCTCCGGCGGCGGGGCTGCCCGCGGGCTCTAACCTCCCATCCTCGCCGCGCTCCTCCTGCGCGCCGGGCGGCGGGGCCGCTCCCCCGGCTGCGGCTCTGCGGGCGGACGGGAGGCGACTACCGCGGCCACCGCTGCCTGCCCGCCGCTGCCCGCCGCTGCCCGCCGCTCTCCGGCGCCTGCCCGGCCGCGGCTCTCAGCTCGCCCCGCAGAGCCGGGCGGGTGCTGCGGCCGGGGAGCTCGGCATCGCTATTAGTGCTGCGCGGCGCGGCCCCGGCTCTCCGGTTTCATTTCCTTTTTCCTGATCACGATTCAAATACAATAGAAGGAAATCACGCTTAAAGAGACAGCTGCCCGTTTCTTAACTGGACTCCTGGGGGTTTAGCAACACAAACAGCGGCATCACGACTCGCTCGGCTTCTTAAAGAGACAGAGCTCGGGCTCTCTGCAGCCGGGGTTGCGAGCTGACGCTGCGTTTTCACATCGCGACGTCACGGAGCAGCACCGCACCGCTGCTCGGGGCTCCCGGGGAGGTGCGCGACCTGAAAGCATCCGACGGGCTGAGGGAAACCTCGGCCGGCTCCGAGCTGTCGGCACCCCGGCCCCACGCGGAATCACACGGGACGTCACGCTCCCTCTCCTCGTCCTTTCCAGCCCCTACACACGCCCTACACCACGCACATTTCGCTACGGCACCTGGAGATCGGGCGCTGGGTCAGAACTCGAGTGCTGTTTTCTACCTAGAGCGCAAATCGGTCACCTAAACTGTGCTTCCCTTGTATCTCGTTGTGTCCCAGAGTCACTGGTCGCTGGTGTCTGCTTCCAGATGCCCCCGAGTTCTCGGTAAGCACTATAACAAATTTATATATTGACGCCGCTTGGTGTTAATGAGCTATAAAAGCTCGAGAGTACAGTATTGATCCATAATGAATCACACGGAAGCTAAAGATGGGAAACTCTTGCCTGAATGTCTCTATTTCCACTCCCATCCTTCCTCCCCCTCCTCTCCATCAGCACAGCACGTCCCGGAAAGAGCTGATTTACAGGGCCAGAGTGAAAACTATTACAGTGGTTATAGCATTTTCCCAGACTGTGAGTCATGAGATCCCGGTGGCTGCTGGAGGCAGAGCCCTGGCTGAAATGAGCTGCTCGCCCCCCTAATTCCTTCAGAAACAGTAAGAAAAGATCAGCAGTAAAGCAGTAGCAGAAGCATTTAGCTTCTATATCAATTCCCAGAACAGAAATACATTTGATGTCTATTTTTATGAGAACATTTTAATTTTTTCATCTTTCTGGCACCAGGGTTATAATATTTGAAATACATTAATGAGCCCTATCCAAAGATTAGTAACGTCAGCAGAAGGACTGTTATTCATTTTCAAGGGCTTTGAACTGAGTTCTCGCAATGCTTTAGAGCCATCACTGGTCATTAGAATACATCTTTCTTATTCTTTAAGCTGTTACAGTACGGCAGCCGCTCTCACAACCAAATGTTCCTGTCATAGTGCAGCTCTTTCGCCAGGTTCCGTGGACAGCATGATGAACATTTCTTATACTGGCTTTAAAGGTGTATCAAAAACAACCGTAAGAACTTGAAATGTGTTTGCGGGGGAAAAAGAAAAGAAAAAGCATTTCTGAGCTAGATTTCTCCTAGCCCCATGTCTCAAGATTTAATAAACTATAAACTCTGAGTCACAATTTCCCTGACGATTGGGGTAGTCATACTCTGAATGGCTCTTGATGGGATAACGTGAACAATTCCTTAAGGCCAGGTGCATTTTCTGGTTTCAGAGGACATAGCTGTGCATATGCTACAGCTCTTTTGGCACACTCCCTCTCCTCTATGTACTTTTCCAAAATTTTCAGGAAACGAATATCTTAAGACCTGTCTATCTGAAAGAGGTGAACTCAGTCACCAGTTTTGGTGAGGGACAAAAACAGAGATGTTGACACATTTCAGACCCAGAACAAACCTCTTAGAAAAGCCAACTCTTTAAGTGTAATCCTCATGATGGTGCTAGCATCATCCCGTATTCCCATAGACAACTATCTCCCAGTGTAAAGAGCTGTAACAATGATCACAAAGTTATTTCTTGTTTTCTTTCTTTCCTCTGAGAGGCAAAACAGTATGGGGAGAGCTAGTAGGAGCAAATAAATCAGTCAGTCTCCTGATTGCTGCTTCACCAGGCTTAGTGGGACAGTGGTTGAGCTCAATCTGCTTAAGCAAAGAGCAACGGGGATCAAAGTTATAGTATCTTGAATAAACTGCACTACAAAGGCACCAGGCACTGCTTGGCCCTGTACATCAGGAGTCAGTGTCCTGTCCTGATCCCCATCAACTGCTCTTGGGTTTTCCTGAATGTAATTTCTCAAGAACCTTCTCTCCAGGTTTCTGAGCTGGCCTTGGCTGGCTATTTCCACTGGATTCACTGTAAAAAACCAACAAGAGCCATCTCTTCTAACACCTTAGGGGATCAAAAGCATACACTTTTGGGGGAGACATTTCAATTTTCCTTTATTGGGTTTGTATTTAATCTCTCAGTCTGGACAGTGAACCTTGGCATGTCCATCCAAGGATCTCATGTCCCAGAGCAACAGATGAGAGCAGTGATGAAGAGTGGCTTCTCTTTTTCATCTTGGGCATGTCCCTTAATATCTTTGTGCCTCAATTTTCCCATCTGTAAATGTTTACTTCCCCCAGCAGAATCGGTCATTGATTTACTTTTGCCTCCTGCTGAAAAACGTTCACAAAGACAAAGCATTATTTAAGGCTAGAATTTGTGGTGCCTACATTTCCTGCACAGGGACAAAAAGACTGGTACTATTTTTAGTGAGGGCTTTTCTTTCCATTGTCCCTTTCTCTGTGAGGCTGTATTTTCCAGCATTTTCTAGCGCAGCTTTTTGTGTTCGCTGACGGATTAAAAATCATAAGGGATAACTGTTGGTTTCAATTAAATTTTAGTAATGTAGATCCTACTACGGACTAATTATTGGAGCACAGCTGAGATCAAAACCAGTGCTACTGTGTTAAGCATTCAGTACTTAGAAGAAACAGGCTGGACTTTTCTCTGTATTTTTCAATAGGAACATTCCATCTAAAACTATAATGTTTCCATGAGTGGTGTCATCCAAAGAAATAGTAAAATGCATCCATCTCCAAGGAGCCAGCCCCTCCTGGACTGAATATTTTCAGCTTTGTTTTGGAACTCTGCTCATTTGAGAGAGTCTCAGGATCTCTGCTCCTGCATGTACTTCTTTGGTATATCCTAGTTTTATTCTCTCTAGAGCTTATGGATAACATTGAATAATTTCAGGTCTCTCTCATTTCGAGAAGCTTGTGTATAGGGAAGATTAACTTTGCTGTCCTTCATAGCTGGTAACATTTTTTTGCCTAAAATGTACTTTATGAGGATTTAAGTCTCTGCATAGACACGAGAATTAGATCTCAGTGCTGGTGGCCTAGATTTCCTGTTAGTATCTTCTATAGGATAGTAATGTCAAGACCACAGCTGAAGTTGAATGATTAATGCAAAGTCTGGCAGAGAAAAGGAAATACAGATTTCTGTATTTTGTGTTATTGTCTGCCACGGTCACAACATGCAGGGTTAGAAAAATCATTGCCCTGCCTGACTCCCTTCTTGGTTCACCTATTTACGAAATAGTAAACCTCTTTCCCACCACTACTCACTGAACTGAAGCTTTGATGTGCCAAATCCATGGGTGACGTTTAAGAAAAATAATAATAATAAAAAAGGACATCTGTTGCTTTGTTTTGGGTTTTTCTGACATGACAGTGACACTGTGCAACAGGTTAGGATGCTTAGGAGCAATCATGTTTGCCAATCTCTGGTCTCCCTGGTGAATACAGAATGCTTCAGTAGAAATCAGCTACTTCTGACAACGTTTGACATCCCTGGAAAATCAGTGTCATATCAATAGCGCACCACATTGACAAGGTATAATATAATATTATACACATGCAAGACACCACATCACTAAAATGTTTTGATGGTTTTTTGCCTTTTCATAGACCTGGAAATTTCTTTTTTTAGACAATAATTTCTGTTATACATCCTGTCTCTGCAAGTGCTATTTTTCTTCCTAACAAAGGCTCCTACCACTCTACCAGCTAGCTAGCATATTTTCTAACTTTCCTGAGAATGGAAGTGGTGAAAGTAAAGATAAAGAGTTCTTCTTGAGTGACGACCACAGGCACAAACCTTAAAGTCTTTGGAGGCTTAGCAAAGTGTGATTCAGAGGACTTTAAAGACTCTGGGATAAGAACACACTTTTCTTTTAGCAGGTTAACCTTTCCTTTGAACTGGAAGAAAACATACCAGAACAATAAAAACCACAGCGAGGGTGAGGTTTGCCCTGGGATTGTGAGGTCCAGACTTTCAGATAAGAAATCTGGCGCATAAAGAAGTTTGAGGGGTAACAAGTTGTTGTTTTGTTGTGCCTTATGTTCTTCAGCAAGCAATTAAGATGAAAAACCAGCCTGTGTTTATAGCTGAGAGAAATCTCTGACTGCAGGTCACAGCACATATGATGACAAGTAAGTTACAGGCAGTCAGATGAAGGGATGCTTCACTGAAGAAATGTGAAAGGTTTCCCCTTCCCCATTTCCTCTCTTTTCTGTTATTGACTTCCCTTGCTCCCATCAAGCCCTTGCTGCCTTGCACACCAGCCAGATCCAATTACCATGTCATTTTTTCCATAAGGCTACTGCTCTACAGTATAGTTCTTCCAAGCAATTTGCACCTTTTCTGTGCTAAGTACTCTCCTCTGTGCTTGTTAGGCATGTAAGTCACCCCAGTCACTAGTTTTTATTTCAGAATTAAATATCTCATCCGAAGTCCATACATGCCAGAAGAAATACACGTATTAACCTGCAGAAACTTTGAGTCTGACCTCTGAATGCTTTCCTTTTAGAAAATAAGCAGTGACTGGGGAAGAAATGCCCTCAGAGAAAATTTCACAGGGAGTCACAGACCAACCAGAAACTTCTGCTCAGGCTTCCCTGCCTATGTATATATATTTATATCTATATTTATGATGTGTATATAATTATGCATTTCTGTGTGTATGTATTTGTAAACACACAGAGACACATACAGACTTGTAAATTATATTCTTCAGTGTTTTGCAGCTT